CACTGGAATTATATATTAGGCCAGATTTTTTTACGGTTTAAAATTACTAGTAAACAATACATGGGTCATTTATGCCAGCTATATAAAACGTACTGCCGTGCACCAGCCAGGTTCGATGGCTGTCGGGCTGAAGATTATTTTGCCGGACCTGTCCACGTTTGACCCTTGGCTGCAATAGAATCTTGCCTATGGTACACCATTAGAATACCCCTTCTTTTTTTTTAATTTTAAATTCTATAATAGAAATTGCAACACTTTAATATGCTAATATGCCTCACAAGTAGGAAAGATGAGCGAGATTGCCCACTGTTGGAGGGAGCTAGCCAGTGAGATTGTTCCAACTCACACTACTGCAATGAAATAAAAGAACAAAAAAAAAACACTTTATTAGGAGCCTTTCGTGCCTCCTTGAGGACATATTCAATAGTGACAAGCAAATGCTGATCAGGGCAGACTTGGACCATTCGTTATGATGTTTTTTAGGACAATGGCACACCAAGCTTGGGCCAACCCGAGAATACCAAACAGCTCAAGACCTCCACATCCCATCCCAGAAGTCATGTCTGACCATGGAGGCACATATTGGCCGAGGTTCAACCTCTTGCTCTCGCAAAATTTGAAGTACAGTATGAGAAACCAGATTCCGACCATAATTTGGGAATGAGACATTAACGTAGGGTCGGGCAAGGGCCAGCCCAGGTGCATTAGAAAGAAGTATAGCGCCGGACCAAGGCCAACCTTCTTACCTATCGAGTAGCGATTCGGGCACCTGACCATGGCTGGCTTGCTGCAAGGAGGTAATGTAATGTGTCTGCCTTGTGACGACTCGAGACAGCCATGCTTGAAGCCTTGTACACACGAATCTAGTAGGCAAGATGCTGATTGATGCGAATTTGGTTGGGAGATCCCAAATTCGTATGGATTAGTGGTAGGCCCCTGGATGTCACCATCTGATTGACCTCCCATAGCTTTACTATGAAACAAACATATTTCTGCTCTGGTGGGCCTCAATGGCCTTATTGGGCTGGCCCGGCTCTCGTGCCTCATGCCCAATAGGCTGTCCAGTCCGCTAACCAACTGGGCTAAAAGGGCATGTTTCCTTGGTGGGTCAGCGCACCCATACCCCCCCAAGACGACACCTGTAGCCCTTAGGGAGACCACTTCGGGCCATTCCAGTGTCCACTTCCAACATAGGCGGTGTTGGAAGTGGAAGACGTTACGGTCACATTTGAATGTCACACAACAAGGTGCCTATTCCAATAGGTGGCTCTAAGTGTGGGCACAAATATGTTTTCTTAACTTCAGACATCAAAAGAATGGACAATAGAGATACATAAATCTGTTGTTTTGAACGTTACACAAGCACACCGAAGCAAGAGTGAATCCTATAGCGTGAAGACCGATGATGACCACTGGCCAAAAGTGGATAACAGGGTAAACAAATGCGGGTGGACAAACGTGCTCAAAACGCTGTGCTGGGATAGCAAAATAATTTGATAATGAACCCTTGATCGACAACTTGACAGCCCTTGAAGATGTTTGTCCATGCGCACAAGAATAAGAATTTGGGAGCACTGTAAGAGGGGGCTCATAATACAGGGTCTCTCTATTGTTGGAAGGAAAGTACGACGTGTGTATCTGCAAGGAATAAATGTGTGATGTACTGCATGTCTCAATAATATAAGATGGAGTTTTGCCATTATCTCTTGAGGGTGTAACTACCGGCAAAGCAGTGGACAACTAGAAATTGCTTGAGTAATAAGCATGCGGAATAATGGCTTCAGCAGCTATTTCTAAAGGGGATACATGATCCCACTCTCACATTGGGGAGTCAGAGGCAGAATTTCATAGCCCTGGAAGAAATGTGTGCGCTCAAAAGTGATACTAGGGCTAGTTGGATACGTGTTTATGCTCACAATTTCACTGGTGCGGATCTTGTTCAGCTGGCAATTGAGTGAGCATTTCAACAAATTGACCTTGCGGATATTGTCAGCCAGCAGGAAATTACTTAAAGCCTGAGTACAACATGGTTGATGTCAAGTTCAAAATATTTGAACTTGAAATTGCCAAAAACAGAGTTACCCTACTTCCTTTCAAAAAGCACTCGCGATCCACGGTCATCCTCTTGTGACAACGGATTCGGTTGGCTTGTCTGCCCTAAGGCAAAAATGAAGTAATGATCGCACAACATATGCACTGTTCGCCGGTCACATAACTTGGTGACCAAGTTGTATTCATAATCTAGGAGGCTCCTCAGGCAAAAACTAGGCAAACTCGAGCCGATTTTTACCAAGCTCAACCATGTTCGTGAGTTCTTGTTACCAGCCTCACCTTACTGGTCTTGTGTAACACCCCCTCACTCCGTCACTTCCGTTAGTGAATGATTACATGGTCACGTCACTCGCGCCTTGCATACAACCTCGCGTCGCACACACAGGCTCGCATGACACACATTTGGTGCGTTTCAACCACGTGTGACGATCCCTTTTTCTTTGGCACGGGCCACTCACGCAAAAAGATGTTCAGATTCGCGTAACGCACGCTGCCGCTGGTCGCGAATGTTTCTCCCTCGTCGCCCATACTTTCCCACGTCACCCACACATCCTCTAATCTCTATTGCTGACGCTAAACATACCGCACTTCTCGTCGCCCTCGCTTCCATTCGAAAAGGGTTGACCAGTTTTAAGGGCAGTAAACAAATATTTGGATTCAAGTCATGATTCGGGTATGGTGCAACCAGTAGAAGCTATACCTGGTGGGATTGTGTCTTCGCTCTTAACTGCCAGCTTGACTTTGGAGGTTCCCACTTTCATCATCCTCCCATGTATTGAAGATCTTAACCACCCTCGCTTATGTAAATTGTCGCCTGAATGTGTTACGATTAGAACACAATAGCCTAACTACTCATCGGCCTGCTAATGCTGCAAGAACTCTCATCGGGGGCACCTTCAAGGGTCATTAGGTGCCTGTCCAATGTCAGCCCTTATCCAAGGGTCCGAGTGTGTAGAGAGATGCTTGCAGCAGTAGCAAGGTTGCCACAGCGGGCGTCCCTTTCTCGGCGTAGTCAAACTTCTCAATACTGGCAGCGTTCTCGGGATAGGCACAGGAGGGAAGCTTCCACTCAAGTTTTGTTGAAACACGCACGAACAAACAGTTGTATACTAGCTCTACTGCATTCTATTCTACCCTTATCTCTGTTATACACACTTTCAATGTTAATTCTCGTGGCGCCAACCCTTTCGCGCTTCCTTCCCTTACTATTCAATGGTCTCGATACTTCGCGCCCTTTTAACACCGTTGCACATCCCATTTAAATTGTACGCGAGATAGCTTATTTCGATCAGAGAGGTGAGTTGGGCTAATCGCATCAACCGAATTTCAGAGCCGCGAGCAGCTTGAACTCACACACTGCAGTCGAGACATTGCTTGCCAGGTTCTTCTCTTTTTGGAAGGGCGAACACCTCCCGCAATCCGAGGTGTCACAAATAATGGCGAGCAAAAACACTATCCGAGCAACATCTAATCAGAACCAGTGAAAAAAGTGGTGGCGCGAGCAGCTGCACGATGAACTCGTTGTGTGAACACTGGTCAAATCCATCCCCCTAAAACTAGTGCGCAAACAGTTGAAAACTTACTTCACCAGCAGGAATAACTCACTCTGATTGGTCCTATAAACACCCAACTCGAACTTGCATCTTGAGCAGCAACTCATAATCTCATTGGTCGAAGTTCAGTTTGACGCTCCCCTTTGGTCGAATGTAGGCATGAGCATGGTACCAAGCCGAACCGGTTCTACCATTAAGAACTGGACCGGTTCACTACCGAATTAAACAGGTTCGTTCACAAAACGGCTTGCAAGGTGCCGGTTCGTGGTTCGTTAATATAGCTAACGAACTGAACCGGTTCAGCCGAACCGGACCGGTTCGGTACCGAACCTAAGCTGTCCGTTTTTTCAGTGAACTTTGAATATAGTTATACCTAAAGAACCGTAGAAAACACACACATATTAGGTGGACGGGGGATTATGTAAGACTATGACAGCAGTAAAGCTCGAAATGGGTCCTACTCTTTGTTTTTTGGGTTATATTTGAACTTGCATGACCAAGGTCGGTATGTCGCGCCTGGGGAATTAGGCAAAAACGAACCGCATGAACCAGTTCGGTTCAATGACGAACCGAAAGACAAAACAAAAGAATGTTAAGACATTGAACACCAAACAGTTCAGTTACCTGTTCAGTTACCATTTTTTTGAAAATGTGTTCAACTCGAACCGAACATGTTCGGTTCGAGTTAGAGGAGCATTCGAAAGGAACACGTTCGAGTTCGATAGGAACACGTGGGAGAGGAGTAAAGAGTGAAAGGAGTGGGTTGTACGGTATGATTGAAGTGAGGGGTGTGAGAGGAGTGGATGGTTCAATAAATGGTTGTGAAAAGAGTGCAAGGTATGAGAGGAGTAAAACTCGTCTCGTGATTTGCTCTTGTCTAGCAATAACTCGTAGGCACCCCTTGAGAAAGATGCAACGAATGAAAGAAGGCCCACCATGAGTAAACTGATTGCATGCACTCAGTGCTGCCCAGCGCAAGAGTGGGTGAGGGAGGCAGCGGTAAGCACGTGCAGAAAAGGTGAAGTGGTGAAAAAGACGGGGCGGGAAAATCAGGCAGGAAAGGCAGTGCAGGGACTGGGAGAAGGGCGGTGACGGGACATGACAAGTGTTATATGATTTACCACACTCGAAACGGACTCATCCAGAAATATACAAGGCCTCAGCAAGAACATGGTATCTTGAGGGGCGTCAGCAAGCACATGGGATTACAGTGCTAGTTTGGAATTGTCACACCAGCCAGCGCAACTCTGTGCAAGGCACTAGAATTGGTGGCTTAAATAGACATCACAGCTTTATGGCAGAACGCAGACCTCCCTGGTGCACCCAATTCATCTCTAGCCTTCACCTCCGTCCTGCCACTTTCACTCTCTTGCCTTCACCTCCCTCCTGCCACTCTCACTCTCTCGTCTTCACCTCCCTCCTGCCACTCCCTCTCTCGCTTTCACCTCCTTCCTGCCACTCACCTAGCAACTGGTCGTCACTATCTTCTTGCTGTTGTTCCTGCCGGGGCATGTGAGCTTGTGGGAGGGCCAGTGCGCCTTTGGCACTCTCTGCTGCAATACGCCACCTTGCCACACCCATAGCAATTCTTCAGCTTCACGCCACCAACCTCCACCCTCCCACACCCCGCAGCACCGCACACACGCTGCCTACAAGCAGCAGCACCCGAGGCTCCAGTAACTGAAAACAGACGCGGCTGCATTGGTTCGTGCAGCTCCAGTGGTTGGAAGAGCAGGGGTGGAAGAGACAGCAGTGGAGGCAGGGCGGTAGCAAGGCTCCCCCAGCAGCATCTCTCGCAGATATGCCACCAGATTGACTCCCCCCGGCCATGCCCTCAGATAAGCCGCCTCCTCCCCCATCCTGCCCTTCTGCTTGCTGAAACCACCAAGCTCATCCCCCTGTTTCATGTCTTCACAGAACCTGGGCAGCAGAGAGCACTGGTAAACCTCACTGGCCTCTTCAACCCGTGCAAACACATCCTCCTCCCTTGCCATCCTGCCACTACACGCCAGCGCGCCTCCCCCCATGCTAGAGGCGGGCAGCATTGCCACCTTGAACCAGGACTGCACCTCCTCCCACACAACCCCACTATCTTCTTCACCATTCCCACCCTTTCCTCCCCTCTTGCCTTCCCCACTAGCCCCACTCGCGGCCCTCCTCCCGCCTGCCTTCTCCTTGGCCCCAGAGGTACCCATGCCAGCCCTGGGATTTTGTCCGCCATCCGTCCCGCTCTGTTGCAGGAGAGGCGTGGCGCAGATCAGCGCCAGGCTGAGCAGAAAGGCAACTGGCACCTGCTCCACCTGTTCCCGCAATGCACGCACGGTGCTGCTGCTGCTGCTGCTGCTGCTCTTGGCCAATTGGGTGTTATGAGGAGCGTTCAAAGAAGAGTCCAGCCCCATGCGGGAGAGAAGGCTCTGAAACACCTCACACCGCGGCTTGAAGACGGAGAGGAAGCGGTCGAGAAGGACAGTGATGGGGCGATAGGCGAAGTTGGCAATGAGAGCGATGAAAGGGGTGTGGGAGATGTACAAGGTGATGCACCTGCTACAATTGGCGCATGCTGGTGCCTCCAGGAACAAACCGGCAAACTCCACTATCAAGTCTGCATCTTCCCTGGAACGGACAATTGGACGGGAATCTCCATTCTGATGTGGCAGCAGAGCTTCCGGTAAGCTTCCTTGCTGCGCTCCCCCATTCCCGCTGTTTGTGCGACTGCCATCAGCCCTGCCCAGCCCGAAACATCTCGCGCTGGAGTCCTCAGGAAACTTCATAGCAGCTTCGTCCCCCTCTGGCCACTCCTCCCACTCCGGGAGGTGGGTGCTTCCGTCCAATGGCGGGAGAACAGCGCCGAACCTGACCAGCAGGCTCGGAAGATCCCGAAGCGGGTGGCGCATGGGCAGGACCTTGCCCTGTGGGCTGTCCTTGAAGCAGTTCTTGGCGGAAATTAAATCTGAACCATAGATTCGAAGCCACTGCAAGATGCGAGCAACCCGATACGTGAGCAGCCCAATGGTGGGGTCTGTGTTGACAGGAACGAGGCCAGGACTGCGCATCCCACTGCTGCTGATTCTTTCACTGATACCAGCACTGAGAGCTGGTCGCCTTTTTGCCGGTGCAGCTGATGCTGCTGCTTCCACTCCTCCTCCTGTTGCCCCCCCTCGTTCCCCTCTTTCCCTAGCTTCCCACTAGTCAGTTTCCGCTTCCCCAGACTCTCCCTTGCCTCCTCAATGGCTGCATCCTGCACAGTGCTGCTCGATGCACTATGAGACACGGCAAAAAACATCGCTCCCATCTTGCGGTGCTCTTGGCTGGAGAACACAGTGGCGACTGCCAGGGCGAAGTCAGTGGCACCCACGCCACTCACGTACATGCCCTTGGGGATAACCTTGCTACAGGTCCTACTGCTATTGCTGCTGCTGCTGCTGCTGCCACTGCTGCTGCCACTCCTGCTGCTGTTGCTGCTTCTGCTGCTACATCCCTCACTGCAGTGGCTGCAACGGAACTCCCTCCCTTCCCCACCTCCATGCTCCAGAATCCAAGCCATACCATCCACATACCTCTCCTACACACGCCCCTTCAGATTCTCCCTCCACTTCTCACCCTTCGGATCTCCACCACCCACCCCGTCCTTTCCACTCCGCCCACCACCACCAATCTCAAGAGGCAGACCCATCCCCGTGCCTCCCCCACCATCGCCCCCGAGCATCGCCACCAGGTCTGCCATGTCTACTCCGTACTCGTCCATGATTTGCAGCCAGTCGTCTTGCCCCATGCATACCCCACTCTGCATGCTCTGCATCACAGCAGCCATTGCTCCCCCCACCTTCCCCATTTGCCCCGGCTGCCACATCTGCCCCATCTGTCCCATCAGCCCTGCACTCATCGGACCCTTCTTCCCCGCTCCCCCACCCCCCTTCCCCTCTGCCTTCTCACCAGTCTTCCCCTGAGTCCCCCCTTCCCCCCTCCCCTCTGCATGCGCCTTCTCCAGCCCGCCTGACAGCACATGCTGCACGAAGAACCCAAACCCTTCCTGCAGATCAGCGCTCTCCTTCACCCCCAACACCTGCACCAGCACGGAAGCAGCACTGTCCTCTTCCCCTTGCTGGCCCGCCCCCAGCTGCCCTACTAAAGCTGGGAAAACTGCATCGTAGATATCAACGTGCGCCTTCCATATGGTGTCCATTCGAGGCCACCTCGCCACAAGCACGAGGAAGGCAGCGAAGCTGACAGCACGGCGGTAGGCAGCCCAGCAGCTGCTGCTGCAGCAGCAGGACCATGTTGCAGCAGCAGCAGGCGCAGCAGGGGAATCCCCAACAGAGCCTTCATTAGCCAGGATGGCAGGCAGGCGGGATATGATCCTCCCCAGGTCCATGAGCACACCCACACGAGGCTCAGCCATCCACTCGAGAAGCATTGCTTCCGCACAGACAAACGGTGCAAGAGCACACTTGCAGGAGAACTGCACACGAGGCTCCATCTCCCCTTGCTCTCCAAACGCCTGCACTCTCAGAGCATACTCCAGCATACTCCCTGTTGGGCCGGATCCGTTGCCCCTGTCCCAGCGTGGCACAAGGGGGGTGGCGTCAGGCACCTGCTTGGTGAGGAGGGATCGCACGAATTCAAGGCTCTCCATGGTGACAACACGCTCTGCTCCAATGCTGACCGCGCGGTCAAAGCAGCACTCGCACTCTTTCAGATCCCACCCGCCCCTCACTTCAAGATAATGAACCATTTCGGTCCGACCAAGCAGCGGAAGCTTCCCGGGTGTTTCCTGACGTCCCGCTTTTCGTGAACCCCTGGCTTCCCATGCAGATGCCTTGTGGGGTGCATCATCCGGCTGCTTTGGGAACTTCCACTGCCTCATCAGCTCGTGACGATGACTCCAGATAGACTGCTTAAGTTCCGAAAGACCGGCCCCACAGGCTGCTGCAGAAGTCAGGACCTTTTCCCTTCTTCCACCGCCGCTTCCTGAAGGGCCTCTGTTCAGATTCATGTAATCCTCGTTCTCCCCCTCCTCCTCCTCCTCCTCCTCCTCCTCGTCTTCATCGCTGCTGAATTCGATGTGGTTCCACTTGCAGTAGTCGATCCCACGCGGCCCGGCGACCGTAGTGAGAGCAGCAGTAGGAGCAATAGGAGCAGTAGCAGGAGCAGCAGCGGCAGCAGCGGGAGCGGCAAAAACAGCGGGGGGAGCAGCAGAAACAGCAGCGGAAGCAGCAAAAACAGCGGCGGGAGCAGCAGAACGAGCACCGGGAGCAGCAGAAACAGCAGCGGGAGCAGCGGATGAAGAAGCAACAGCATCAACGTGATGCTCGCTCCCAGCAGGCACAGCAGCAGGAGAACTCACACCAATTTCACCTCCCTTGCCCTTTCCCTCTCCACCCTCATGCACAGCGGCGATCATCACGGGAAGCACTCTAATGGTGGAGCCGGATCTTAGCTTCGCTTGCTCCACAGTGGATTCAGGAGAAAGGTACACCACCTGGCCTAGCACCATGAAGCGAACCTGCTGCTTACGAACCTCCGAATCCATTTCCTCCGCATTCCCCCTCTCTCGTGCTCCCTGCTGACGTGGATCGGAGGGCAAGCAGCAGTTGGAAAGATAGGTCTGAAAGAGCCTGTTGAAGACCGATTCGAGCAAATCATTTGGAGAGACGGCCAGGTGAATGTCCACATGGCCGCATGATGATAAGGCGACAGCTGGCTTGTTCTCGAGATGGCTGCTGGCAACGTTCACTGTGCTGGCGCACGGATATTCGCTTCCAGACTCACCTGATTCTCGTCGATTTAAACCCGCTGGGACCCTGAATCGGATAAAAAAAGCCATGGGATTACTATGTTCCAACGGATCACGGTGTTTTGACTTAGGGTTCGCTATGCGGGTGACGGCTTCAGGGACGAAGGAAGCCATTCACCAATGTTCACCAGCATAAAATGCCTCAAACTGTCAGCGTCAGAAGGGAATTCACGGGTAGCAAACTTCCGAGGCGGATCGCGTGCGCTACTAAGCTAATAGCCATAACGAAGGTATACAGGTCGCCGTGTTAATACTGATCTGCAAGTTCATCACGCCACGCATACCCTCCTCGGGCAGATCTGTAGCAAGCTGGATGAATTCGTCATTTGACCAAAGACATTGCCATGGGAGGACCTTCGTGCAGACTCTAATAGCGACATCGAGGACTATCTTGAATCTTGAGGTTTTGCCAGTTTTAGAAACCAGAGAAGCGAGCAGGATGGTTTTGCGAGCAGGACGAAATCGGCGAGAATGATTTGCGACAGTCGACAATTCAACATTGGTGGTATCCACCAAAGGAACCTGGAAACAGCTTTGCGGAACAAATGAGAAGTGCATTATTCATATTCTCATAACGAGAGAATATGGAACGCTGTTAGGTTACACGTCTTTGGCGAAAGCAGCGCGTTTGAATGACGCGCATCCAGATCCGAACCCACCTCCATTGGAATGAAGTTCCCTTTCACGCGGCCTCTCTTCCTTCCGTGACTTACACCGATCTCCTCTCAGGCCGTGGAGACTAGAGCTACAGCACTGCTGTGTGTGTGCGAGCAAGCACATTCTCCAGCCTCCGCTCATAGTTGCAGCTGTCACCATACTCTGCATGCACGCGCCGCTGCTGACCCCTCTCGCGAATTATCTTGCACATGAAGGATGTTTCGCTTTGTGGTCCTTTTAGATCGCGGAAATCGCGATCGGGTTGGTAGATCTACGACCACATCCTCACGATGCCGCGATGTGATGCTACCCGGCACAGGCACGCACCGCGACGATCTCACTACCATAAGATTGCTGCGTTGTGCTTGTCAAAGGGAACGCCAGAGAATGGCGTGAACGGCCTACGTGGGGGTAATGCCATGCCACAATAGTGAAGATGGCCGCATCTCGACAGCGGCTAGCTATGGCGGAGCGAACATGAAGAAATGCACTTCGGGATGAGAAGAGAGTGGAAGGGAGAGAAGGGTGGTGAAAATGCAATGACCCCGCAGAGGTTGTTCCCTACAGCAGAGGGCTTCTTCGCCGAAGCGAAAGTTGGGTCCAGCTGCAGAGGACTCCGTCGAAGAGAAGGGCGCGTCTGCAGAAAGCTTTTCTGCAGAGGAGCGATATCTCGACAGACGAACCTCCGTGCAGAGTGCGCAATCATTTTCCCTTCGGGAGAATGTCAGAATAAAAATCGGACATCGAAAATTTGACTCGGTCAACTTCTGGCACGGCTATTCGAGCTTTCCCGTGCCGAAGCAAATGGTGTATGTCGGGCGTGCCAGGCTTGGCTGGGAAAATTGGTGAACATTTTGACTTCCGAGGTGGTGATTAAGGTAGAAGGGGGAGACCATTGAGGTCCAGTTGCTTTTCGTTCGATTACGGTTTCCAGATCTGTTTACGTCAGGGTGAGGGTTTCCCCGAATATGATGTGAAATATGCTTTTCGTTCGATTACGGTTTCCAGATCTGTTTATGTCAGGGTCAGGATGAGGGTTTCCCCGAATATATCTGGTTACGCCAAGGCTGAGTCCTTTCGCCTCCGAAGCTTTCGGATCCGCCTTTCCCAACCTGGTCACCCGAGAATTTCGCCTGGGTAGGTTGTGCCTTGTGTAGAAAGGCGAGCCTTCATTCGTTGTTCAGAATGAGGCTTCCAAATAACGGGCCTTCATTTCCGAGCACTCAACAATCACCACAACTCTCAATCCAAACCCTAATTTCGGAAACCTGCGTATACCCAATTCACCCCCTCACGTATACCAATTTCGATGGCGGTTTCTAGTAGCATAGATGGTAATGGATTTTCCGTTCGCTCCGTCGCCGTATAGACGGAATCGTCGTCAGCATCGTCGTCAACGACAACCCAATTATCTACCAAGTGCACTCGTTGTATCCATAGCCACAAACATCGCAAAAACAGGGATGGTGGAGGGGTAGGTTTAGTTTTGGGTGCTTCAAAGCTGCTCGACTGAAAGTTACGACTTACCTACCTTAGAGCTGCTTTGAGCGTGGGTGGTTCGGGAATAGGCGGAATGACGAGAGTGTGAGATGGCTTGACTGCTTTTCATTGGATTTCAATTCATAGCTACGCTAGAGCTGCTGTGAACGAAATGGTTTGGCTTCGTTTGCATTTCCTGTGTTTCCATTGCCCATTTCGCTCGATCAATGTGTGCTTCCCTGTAATTCGAAACCCCTCTAAAAATATAGTAAGTACATGATTCTTTCAGAAGAATTCAATATACTATTTCTAGATGTATTTTGTAAATAAGACAGTTTAGATTTTGTTCAAGGGTTATTAAATAGTATTATTTTTTTTTCTTAGAGGATTCAAAAACTACTATCTACCAATAGGCATAAGAAATCCAAAGCCTCAATATGAGTCGTACGAAGGATGTAATAACGTCAAATTGCACCAATACGTTATTTGATATTTGTCAAAGTAAAATTGATCATTCATGCTTGGAATGTGATGCTGTTTATATAGTCAAAGAACTCATGCTAGCAGCATTTAAACGGCACCACATGTCGCTCAGGCATGGCCTTGCATGCTTTTCCATGCTAACTTATTCAAAGTACTGTCAGAACATTATATAGCTTATGCTGTTGTGTAGGCTATAGTGGGGTATCCCATAGGGGGTACAACCCAATTAGGGTTTTCCATATGTACTCACCTCATTCATAGTTCATTCATCCTCGTTCTTCATTCTTCTCATGGTATCGAGCAGGTTCCCTCGTGGGAACTGTTCCTAGGGCCCACCGTTTTTTTTCCTGCCCGGAGCGCACTCTGCCCCTACCCGAGTCGCGCTCCCCTCTCTCTTGGCCCCTAGTGGCCCCTTTAGCCGCCCGTCACGGCCCTTAGACGCCCGCGCGCCGCCCGTCCCGGCCCCTTAGACGCCCGCGCGCCGCCCGTCCCGGCCCCTAGACGCCCGTGCGCCACCCGGCCCGGCCCCTAGACGCCCGCGCGCCGCCCGTCCCGGCCCCTAGACGCCCGCGCGCCGCCCGTCCCGGCCCCTAGACGCCCGCGCGCCGCCCGTCCCGGCCCCTAGACGCCCGCGCGCCGCCCGTCCCGGCCCCTAGACGCCCGCGCGCCGCCCGTCCCGGCCCCTAGACGCCCGCGCGCCGCCCGTCCCGGCCCCTCGACGCCCGCGCGCCGCCCGTCCCGGCCCCTCGACGCCCGCGCGCCGCCCGTCCCGGCCCCTCGCCGCCCGTGAGCCGCCCGTCCCGGCCCCTAGACGCCCGCGCGCCGCCCGTCCCGGCCCCTAGACGCCCGCGCGCCGCCCGTCCCGGCCCCTCGACGCCCACGCGCCGCCCGTCCCGGCCCCTAGACGCCCGCGCGCCACCCGGCCCGACCCCTAGACGCCCGCGCGCCGCCCGTCCCGGCCCCTCGACGCCCGCGCGCCGCCCGTCCCGGCCCCTCGACGCCCGCGCGCCGCCCGTCCCGGCCCCACGCCGCCCGTGAGCCGCCCGTCCCGGCCGCGCACCGCAGTCCCGGCCCCACGCCGCCCGTGCGCCGCCCGTCCCAGCCGCGCGCCGCCGTCTCGGTCCCCACGCCGCCTGTGCCGCTGAGGAGCTGAGCCGCCCGAGCCGCCCGAGCCGCCCGCACCGCCCGAGCAGCCCGAGCCGTGCTGCCCCTCAGCAGCACAACCGAGCCGCCCGACAGCAGAGCAGCCGAGCCGCCCAGCAGCCGAGCCGCTCAACAGCCGAGCCGCCCAGCAGCCGAGCCGCCCAGCAGCCGTGCCG